GGGGGGGGGGTGTGCGCGCGCGATCGGGCGCTGGTCCTGTCCAGATGGACCGGTCAGTCCCCTTGGAGGGGGGGCCACCACCCCCTCCTACTTATTTTCCTTTCCTTTTCCTCCCCTCCTTGTCTTTCCTTCCTTTCTTTCCTCCCTAAACCTTTCATAATTTTATAACCTTTACTGAAAATTAAAATCTGATTTTATTTTCCTTCTAATTTTAAAACGCTTGCATTAAATCTGAAATCTGATTTTATTTCCTTACATATTTTAGAAGTCTTGCCTAAATTCTGAAATATGATATTATTCATTTTCTATTTTAATGTTTCCTAATGTTGAGTCAATTCTTTTATAAGTAGGAATTCTTGTGTCTAGGGTAAAAGTTTTGTTTTCAAAATCTGCTTTCAGTTTTCTGAATATTTTCCCTCTCGAAGGACTATATTCGACGACAAGGAAGCTGCTCCAACTCTAACCCCGTCCGAGGTGGTGTTTATCTTCGTTACTTTGACCATGAGGCTGTCCCGCAGTCCACCACCGTTCCATCCCTCCTCCAGCTCAACCTTCTACCTCCCTGTCCTCCTACAGCTGTTCGGTTCTCCCTGCTTCCTCATCTAGACCACCGTCTATTTACTCTATTTCCTCCCAGCAAACCAAGAAACCCCTGGCGGTCCTCCCTGATTAGCGCCCACCTCCAGCTGACAACCTCACTGTCTCTTTGTTGTCCTCCCATAGCACCGCAACCCTCTGCTGCCTCCCCAGATTGCCGACAATTCTTTTCCCCTGTAGCTTCCCTGCAGAGTCACAGCTACTGCCGCCTCCCAAACAACAGTCGCAACCCTTTTCCATCACCGTCCGTGTATCCGCCATCCGTGCCTCCGTTCCTCGGCTCCGACCACCATCCGTGCCCCCGTTCCTCGGTTCCGACCGCCTTTCATGCCTCCGCTCGGCTCCGACCCCCTTTCGTGCCTCTGCTCCTCAACTCTGGCTGCCTTTCTTGCCTCCGCTCCTCGGCTTCTACCTCCACTACCACTTCCTCTGGGTGCCAGTACACGACGACATCCTCCGCCTCTTTCGGCTGTGGTTTAATGCCTCAACGAGCGCTGACTTACTCTCAATCGATTTCGCTCTGGCCATCATCACAACCCTTGCTCCAGCACCATCTCACCGAACTCCCTCCTCGTCGAGCTTGTTGTATCCTTTGTGTTGAGTTTTTTTGTAATATTTTGTTTTATGTTTCAATTCACGCAATATCTTTCTTTCTTTGAGTCCACATTGTAATCGTCTTTTTAAGCTATTAATAAATTCGTATTTTGTGTCGTAATTTGGGTCAACTCCGGTATCACTTATGATTTCTCTCGAGTCCATTAAATTTGTGTAATGAAGATGATCTGACAAACAATAATTGCAATCCTTTAGTTTTTAGATATTATTGCAAATTTAGATAATAATTTAGTGATTGGATTAGGCACAACATGTTAAGATTAGAGGCATTCAATGTTTTCTTAATGGAATGGCATTGAAAAGTGTTGGTCTAGGAACTCAAATTGATGTCTTTTTGACTTCTTATATATGATTTTAAGCCTCAGAAATTAATTATCGTACGCAACATTTACTAAACATTTCAGGGTGGAGATTTGAGATACTGTCAAAAATGTTCCCACTATAAGCCTCCACGAGCTCATCATTGTCGCGTTTGTAAAACATGTGTTTTAAGAATGGTATGTATTTCTACCACCCTTGAAAAGTTTTTGTTTCTATCATTATTTTTTGGAAAACTTGCATATATTGCATTCAATTCTTATGTGTATCACTTCAGTGCTTTAAAACTATGCATGAAGAGATATTTCAATTTTAAAAAGTGATAATAGTGTTATTTTTGATGTGATATTAAAGATTTAAGTACAATATGTGTAAATATGAAAGTTTAGGTGTGATATATGTAAATACATAAGATGTAAATACAAATATGAAAGTTTAGGTGTGATATATGTAAATACATAAGAATTGTGTGCTATGTATGTAAATGACTCTAATTTTTATTTTGCTTTCAAATGTGTTTTGGATGCTCACAGGATCATCACTGTGTCTGGATAAACAATTGTGTTGGCCATGCAAATTACAAGGTTTTCTTTGTTTTCATGCTGTACGCTGTAACGGCTTGCATCCACTCATTGGTATGCGCATCTCTCTTTTTCTTTACAATATTGTCCGTCTATCATCTAGCAAGCTGATAAGCTGATCCTTCTTCCAGGCTCTTTTTCTTTGGTTTGTTTATGATGTCCTTAAAGGTCAAATACACAGCGGAGGCTCTCTAAAGACGTCACATGTAATTTGCTACATGGCTATATTTTGTTTACAGAGAAATTTACATACATACCACACAATTCTTGTGTCTTTAGGTATCTAACACCCAAAGTTTGATATTTACACTTTTTAACACCTTGGTGTCATAAACCCATGCATGAAAAGGTGTATTTCACTTTCTGAAAGAAAGTGCTGTGGTATTTTTGATGTGATGTTAATGATTTGACTGGTATGCATGTAATCATGATGTTTAATTGTTAAATATGTTAATACATAAGAATTATGTGATATGTATGTAAATGCGCCTATAGCTTCTTGAATGAATGCATCCTAACTTATTGAATGAATGCATCGACAGATCATTTATGGGGTTCTGCTATTCCCACTAACCCTCGCAGTTAGCATACTTTTGGGATGGCATATCTACTTGGTCGCACATAACAAGACTACAATAGAGGTTTCTGAGACTTCGAATGAAAAAAAAATTAAACGTTATTCGTAAAATAATTTATTTATGAGAAAAATGTCAAAATAATTCCCAAACTCTTTGCAGTGAGTCATTTTGGTCCCAAAGTCTATAGAAGTGTCGATTTTAATCTCTAACTCTTTTTATAGGGATTAAAACAGTCTTCCGTGGGGATTATTTCAGTCAATATTAAAAGTGTCTGAGAACTAATTTGATTCTTTTATAGACATTGGGACTAAAATGTTCCAATTTAAATGGTTAGAAGACTATTTGACACTTTACTTCTTTGTTAATTGTTTCCTTATTTTTGATAAAATTTTTCAGCATTACGAAGGTGTAAGAGCAATGTGGCTTGCAAAGAAATCTGGGAATGTGTATGCACATCCTTATGATCTTGGTATATATGAGAATTTCATTATGGTAGGTTCTATGTTATTTTTTAACTTTTGCTGTCAGGTATACCTGAGGATCATGAATATATTTTTACTTGTTTTCTACGGCTAAAGCCTGAAATTGTGGCTTAATTTTCGCATAACTAGGAGACCTTTCTTTTTCTTGTTAAAAAATGTTTGAGTTGGAACTATTTTTTTCTTCTCTTAGTAAAAATTTAATGTTTAATTTGAAGATGTGTTATTGTTATGGTATGAATCATATACCATATAGGGACAGACGCTGGATCGTAGCGGATCGTAGCGGAGCGTGAGAATACGTCTAAATCGGGAAGTTACGTGGGTTGGGGGTGCGGGCGCAATGCCCCGCGGTATGGTACAGGGGTAATGTTGTAATTACGGATTGTACTTAGGGTTTACTCGTGGAGTTATAAATAGACATGTTAGTAACCCCCAAGAGGTATCCCTGATTTCTGTATTCTCTATTCTGAATCTCGCCGCTCTGTTCCCAAAGACGTAGACATCTTTGTCGAACCTCGTTGAATCTTTGTGTTCTTCTGGATTTGTGTCGATTCTTTTTTTTTTTTTCGCCCTAATTTTCTCAACAAGTGATTTCTCGGCGCAAAGAAGATTTTGCGGTTTGCGGCTGTTCACCGAAGCGGCGGAGTTCGACCGGGATACTGTCCGACGCCAGGCGAAGTCGGAGAGCGAGGCTTCCTTCTCTCGCGACAGGCGAGAGTCTCGGCCGGGGAGTTCGCTCGAAGGGCTTCGGTTGGAGATGGTGATCACGAAAAGGAGCGGAGGATCGCGACATGGGGTTCGAGGCGAAGCCGTCCGGCGCGGGAGGCTGCTGGGCGGAGACGGACTCGAGATGAAAGGAACTGGAGGCGCGATGTCCGGTTTCCTTCACTGGATTTCCTTCTGGAGGCGATTTCCTTTGATCGTTGGATGAGATTTCTGATTTCGCAATTTCCTTTGCTGATCACTAGATGCGATTTACGAATTTTCTTTGTTGAAAAAAAAGGCAATTCCGATTTGCTTTGGAAGCTGAAGTAAGAATTGGAAGGAATCTTTTATTTCCATTGCAGGAATATATTTTACTGGAGATATTTCTTGCGGAGGCAGGAAAGACAATTTCTTCCGATTTGCTGGAGGCGATTTCCCATCAAGCTCTGATTCCTTTGTGAGAGGCAGCTGCGGAGAACAAAGCGGAAGAAATTTGGCTGCGATTTGTTTCTTGTTCCTGGAAGCTGATTGGTTTTCTTTGCTGGAGGCAAAGAAAATTGGTCTCATTTTATTCTTTCGTTGGAGGTATTCCTTGGCGGAATCTTAGTGAATGCAGGCGGAAAAGGCAAGCAATAGGCCAAGAATCTTAAAGTAATTTTTCAGAAAAGTTTCGTTACAGGTTTAATTTTCAGATGACATTTTCTGGTGCAAAATTTGAGGTGGTGAAGTTCGATGGAACTGGTAACTTCGGACTGTGGTAAACAAGGGTGAAATATCTGTTGACTCCTGTAGGCATAACAGAGAATCTTGAAGGCCCTGAGGGCAATGAAACCAAATGCCATGGAGGACGAAGATTGGGAAGAATTGCAATAACGAGCGGCAATAACTATACGCCTATGCCTGACAGATGAAGTTATGTATCACATGATGAATCTAAAATCTCCAGGGGAGATATGAAATAAATTAAAAACTCAGTTTATGTCCAAATTTCTGACGAATAAATTGTATCTGAAGCAAAAGTTGTATGAGTTGAATATGTAAGAAGGTTCTGATTTGACATAGCATGTGAATGACTTCAATCAAATAATCACATATTTATCACAACTTGATTTAAGTATTGAGGATAAAGACCGATCAATAATTCAGTTGTGTTCACTGCCTTCTTCCTATGAACAACACCTGATGACTACTCTGACTCTGACATATAGGAAAGAAATTATCAAAGTTGATGAGATTACTGCAACATTATTGGCTCACAACTAGCGGAAGCAGAATGCAGAGAAAAACTCTCACGACGACAGTTTATATGTCAAGGGTAAGCAGGATCGTGGAAGAAAGAAAGAGAAGGAGGGTTCTAGAAGGTGAAATTCCAGATCGAAATCCAAAGGCAAAAAATCAATTCATTGCTACAGTTGCAAGTAACCAGGTCATATGAAGAGATATTGTCCAAAGTTGAAGAAGCAGACTGGAGAGAAAAGTGATGCATCATCGAAGTCTGTAAATGTGGTGCAGTGTGAAAATTCAGATTGCAGTGATGACGATATGTTTTCAGTTTCATCAACTCAGTTCACAGATGCATAGATACTTGATTCAGAGTGCTCTTATCACATAACATCTAACAAAGAGTGGTTTACTTCATACATGTTAACTTATTCTGGCTCAGTCTATTTGGGTTTTGATAGATGTTGCAATATTGTCGGCATTGGAAAAGTCAGAATTATGATGTATGATGACACAGTTAGAACGTTATGTGATGTCAGAAATATTTCAGATTTGAAGAAGAACTTGATTTTCTTGAGCACTATACACATAAATGATTTTATTTCTAAGGCTGATGAGGATAGGGAAACCATCATAATTGTTAAGGGTGCTCCGACGGTGATGAAATGAAAGAACTACAGACAATATTTACAAATATCTACAAACTGTTAGGGAGTACAGTTGTATGTGGAGTTCATTCTGTGGAGTCTGATGATGATAGCACAAAACTATGACATATGCGTCTGGATCTCAGTGAACGTGGGATGGTGGAATTGCATAGAATAAACCTATTACGTGGTGCTAGAAGCTGCAAGCTCGATCTTCGTAAGTTCCGTGTTCTTGAAAAACAGACTAGTCAGTTTTATGACTGGAAAATAAAACTGAAGGGATTCTTGATTATGTGCATATATGGGGCCCTACCAGAGAATCGTCATTATGAGGATCTCAGTATTTTATTATCTTTATTGATGATTTTTCCAGGAAAGTTTGAGTGTATTTTTTTGAAGCAGAAATCCAAAATCATCTCTAAATTCAAGTTGTGGAAAGCTGAGTTGGAGAACCAAACTGACATAAATATTAAGTATTTAAGATATGATAATGACACAAAATATACAGATTTGCAGTGTCAGAAGTTCTGTGAGGAGCATGAGATTCAGAAGTATTTTTCAGTGCACAAGACATCACAACAGAATGATGTGGCAGAAATGATGAACATGTCATTAACTGAAAAGACAAGGTGTTTGAGACTGAATGTAGGAATTCCTAAGAGTTTCTGGGCAGAGGCTGTGACTATGACATGCTATCTCATCAATAGATCACCTCGAGCATCATTAGGTGACAATGTCGCAGAAGAGGTATGAACAGGTAATCCAGTTAAATTTAATCATTTATGAATTTTTGGTTGTCCTACTTTTGTGCATGTACTTGAAGATAAAAGATCAAAACTTGATGCAAAATCCAAGAAGTGCATTTT